AAACCTTATAATTCAATTCAATCGATCCTCAAAACAATAGATTGTTTATATTTACCTCCGTTCATAACGAGAGTCGTGTTTCTGTTACCATTTCCTTTATAAAACTGTAAACCCGATGTGATAGTTGTCACTTGTCACTATTCGATGCAGCAAAAGCTGACAAATAAAAAACAATATTAAACAAACAGACTTTAACTGAACTGACGATGAGAGAAAAAAGTGGAAAATGTGTCGCCGCTCTTGTATCTTTTTGTATCGAAGCAAAAAACTTGGTAAAATAATTCATAACAAGAAGACAAGGAGGAGACACATTATTATGGGAAAGGAGAGAGGAGGAAATAATGACAAGTTGAACGTGAGAAGAGTAGGAGGACGTATTACTGGCACATGTGGCGGAGACTGATAAATAATATTCTAAGTCTGACTAGATGTAAGTGGCATTTTGCCTTAAGACAAGTTACATGAACTTCCCGATATACGTTGGACAAAATTGTTTTTTATAACAAACTAGCAAACCCAACGAACTTTGTTTCGCTACCAGATGGTTTCGTGAAAAAGATGAAGAAATTTTTTGTTCGATTTATATTTGAAAAGGAAAAATTTGATTTCATTACACAACAGTAATGAATTTATTTCGATTACAAAAACGAAGTGGTCTAGCGTTAACACAAAAAAAGCGGATGGTTTTCCAACTCGTGAACAGGCAACGTATAACTGCCCATGTAAAAAACAATGATTTTCTAAATAATCTATTTGAAATTTATCCCGCAAACACTAAGCGATTGGCCTTGCGACTTGTTATTGCGAACGCAAGGCGAACTGAAAATTGCAATCGTTTGAAGTCAAACGAAAGACCAATCGGAATCATTGGTATGTCACAAAATCGCCAGAAACTTTTGATTGAATGGTGAAATTCAGTGCGTGTACATCATTATTCTTTGCGGCAATAATTGCTCGTTGACTTAACCAAGCATATAAGCCTAACCAACTTATTTTTATATATATGTAGATAATAACTAGTGGTGCATGGCATCATGCTTAAAGGCAATATGCTGAAACTTCTCGTACCAGAATTAAATATTTGAGGGGGAAAAATCAGTAATCAATAAATATTGATCAATGATTAATAATAATTGTTTTAAACATTTTCAAATGGATAATTATAATCACTATGTATTTTATCGGTCATATAATATACAGTGACAATCTTATTGCATAAAACGCTTATGAATGTTTACATTAACAAGTGATGCCGAATGAATTCATCTCAGGATATATTTTTTAGAATAGAAATCTATTTCTCTTCCTCTCTATCTCTTCTCTATCTCTTTCGCTCTCTTTATCTTTCTATCTCTTCTCTATCTGTTTCGCTCTCTTTCTCTTTCTATCTCTTCTCTATCTCTTTTGCTCTCTTTCTCTATCTTTTTCTCTTTCTATCTCTTCTCTATCTCCTTCGCTCTCTCTTTCTCTCTTTCTCTATCTCTTTCTATCTCCTCTCTATCCCATACGAAATACATATATTCATTTTTAAACTGAATTGTAAATTTAAGATTTATATTTAAAGTACATATAAAACTTTGTATATTTTTAAAAATTTGAAAAGAAAATTCTTTTTGAAATTTGTTTGAACCGTATAACCGTATAATAATGATTGTATAAGTGAACTTTAAAATTAAAAAATCTTGCTACAAAACCCAAAAAATTTGTAACAAGTACAGTACTCATTTGGAAAATGTCTATAAACTATACGATAATTTGATGTGCATATGTCTAATGATCATTTTTGACCGGCAAATAACATTTTTATTTTATTTTTCCTCTGTATCTCCGAAACCGCTGGATCTGCCTTTCCAAAAATGTAATCAATTCTTTATTTCGTCAATACAAATAAAATGTTTTTTTAAATCATTCAAATCCAGTACTTCGTTCTCTCAAAAACTCAACTACCGTTTTTGGCACTTTTTGCCTCATATCTCCAAAACGGCTAAACCTGTCTTCACCAAAAACTAATCAAGCACGTCTTCATATCAATAGGAATCAAATGTTTTTTAAATCATTCAAATCGGTTGATCCGTGCACCCAAAATCGTGGAAAATTGTAT